GGCCGGCGCTCCCGGGCCGGCGCCTGGGATGCTCCGGGCGCCCGGGATGCTCGCGCGCAGGCTCTCCCGGACAAACGTGGACTCCTTTATTTTAATGACCGAAATCTTCTCTCCTGTCTCTCAGGAAGAAACTATTGCTAAGCTAGAAAGTTACATTTAACCCAAGAGCAGAAATAAGTAAAATACTTAGATAATTAACAGGACTTAATCACTGGCTTCTAAGTAGTTTGAAAGAACACTTTCTTCAAGAACGTGTTGAAATCTAATTAAAATAACTCCACATCCAAACACCCTGAACATAAAACACAAAAGTGGGCTAGGAAATAAAAGGTAAAGTCTTAACAGCAATGCAAAATTTTTTACTATTTTTCTCTAAGTACATTTTAAGGTCTTCAAAAAAATAAATAATTTTAATATGTGCAGTAATATTTAGGAAGCTAAAACTTTCCAAGGTCTTTTTTTTTGTGATTTTATTAAAATAATCCAGTGCTTCATTTTCAAAATTTGAGGGGAAAAAACGTTTAACATCGGTGGTAATTTTACAATTAAAAAGGGGACATAACTTATTTACAAAACTATTTAGCAAAGTGCATTTAAAATTATTGTTAATCAAGGCACGTAAAGCATTTTCACTTTGAAAATTAGTTATAATCTCTAAAATGTATTTTTCATAGGGTGTTAATTTTTTAAATTATAAAATTATGCGCTCCTTGTAATAAACTTTTAAAAAGTTGTACAGCCATAAAGTGAGTCCTCTGTACCAATGGCTTCCTCATCTCACTCCTGTAAGGAACCATAATTAACACTTTAATCTGAGCTCCTCCATACAGTTTAATATATATATAAAGCATATATGCACATGTATAATACACAGTGCACATTTTGAAAGATGATTCATTTGTTAAACTAGTTTCTAAGGCCATTGATAATAAAAATAAAGGGATTTTTTTTTTTTTTTTTTTATTACTCAAACCATTTGATTACTTATCATAGTATGACTATAACATTTGGGCTACCAGGCCCATTTTTTTTATACCCCAGTCTGTAGTTTTTCCCTTTTATTGCCAATTGCATATAAAAATGGGTAAATACAAGAGAAACTACTGATCAGTCCATCCCAACTTAGTGTTTTAGGCATTAGAAATTCTTCAAATTATAAGTATTCTTCAAGTGATTCTTTCTATTTTAGGAGCCAGTTATAAAGGATGTTGTTACAGGGCTTTGACGTTGGATGAAACCTGCCATCATGGATGCAGAACTATGTTCCATTTCTAACTGGGATCTATTCAGAACCTAACTGAATCACATCAGAAATTTTACGGCACTAATGTCAACGATACGTCCACTTGTATACTTCACTTCCCAGGGCGCCTAGACTGGGCATTTAGTATTTTTTCAAAAGAATTTAAGCTGAGTCATACCAAAGCTGCAAAGGAATCTTTCAAAAAGGTGCCATGCTTGTGTACTCCACCTAGAGGCTGTGTGAATTAAGGAAATTGCGTTTACTTAGCAAAGGCTTATGAGAAGTTCCATACTTTTATACTATTGTAGTTCTTTTAAAAATCTATTATTGAAATGAAACTACCAAATATTCTGAAGAGAAGTTTTCCCATTATAATTTTGTCTCAAGTCCTAAGCAGAGGTTGGCAACCATTTTTCATACTTTAGCTTTTTAATAGCCTCCAAATATTTTCACTTTCTGCCTTGTAACTCTGCTTTAAAAAAAGCCTTGAGGAGTATTTGCTTTTAAGATAATTTAGTTGTTTCTAATATAAGGCTTATGACAGTAGGTAGGACAGCAATCTACAGATTAAACGGAGTCTTTTCTGTCAGACAAGGGAGTTAGAGGCCTTGGATATATTTGACCTGATGGTCAGTCACCAAGCCTTCTGTATAAATTTTGACTTTCCTGCTGTCTTTGTTATAGGTTCTGGTTCTGGTTCTCTGCTTCTCTACTGAATGGGGCCATTAAAAAAAAAAAAGTTGATCAACATAATAATTAGGCTACCCTCAGTTTGAATACTTACAATGTACCAGAATTGAATATGGTGCTTCATACTTTCAGACTTCAGGCTTGTTCTAATTCCCAAAGATTACATACTTTCCAATAGACCACAGGTCTTCCCAAGTAGTGTAATTAGTTTAAAATTCCCATGGTGACTTCTCTCACTCCCACCACAAATGGAGCTACATGTAGGCTGGGATTACTATGTTTAAGTGAAACTGTTAACTTTTTAAATATATGAATAAACTCCTTCAACTGATAACCTGTGTAAAGCATCTGACCCTATCCCTTTTTCCAATACAAGGGGCAGGGGAATGAAAGCTAGGTTAAAAAAAATTGAGAATACAACTGATGGCTGATTTATAAATAAGTACTGAGCATTTTAAGCTCAGTAGTTACAGCAGGCATTCCATAACCATAAAAATTAAGGTATAGGTGATCCCTGAGTTAACAGCCTAGATTATTTCCCCATGGCCTTTGCCCTCACCCATGTCTCCCCTCTCCCTGCAATTCTTTTATTCCACTATTCATTTGAGAGCTAGAAAAGGAAGAAATTATCTTACATTTTTGGAAAGAGCTCAGGCCTTGGAGTTGCAGAGACATAGCTTGGATTCTGATTCTTTGATTTACTAGCTGCATGAATTTGGTTGGATTACTTAGCCTCTCAGAGCCTCAACTTTCTTGCTTGCATAATAGGTATAATTAAATCCATATGATAAAGCTGTTGAAGTGTAAACAACAGGTGTGACGTGGCAAGACCAATGCCCAGCACATAGTATTTTATAAAAGGTTTATAAGTCATGACTGTTCCTGTCAGTCCTAAGATGCCAACTTATACCAATTAGGCCAAGAACACTGTATGTAGTAGTACGAATACATATGAAGTGAACAAAATATGAAAACCTCCACATGACAATTCCTAGTCTTCACTTGGCTAGTTTAATAACCTTCACACCCATCTTAAAAGTTATGCCACTTGGGTTTTTGGTTACCCACCTCATTGGCCACTTGTTTTGTAACCTACTTTATGGATTCTTCCTCATCTCCCTGACCTCTTAACTTTGGACAGCCCCAAAGCTCACTCCCTAGAAATCCTACCTATTTTCAAGGCTTCACTTATTGATAGTTTCCAAATTTTGACTAGATCTGTTCATTATCTCCACTTAGATATCTAGTAGATATCACAAACTGAACATGTCCAAAGCTAACTCCTAATTGTTTCCCTCCCCTATCCTCACAAAAAATAGTGACTTTTGCTGCTTCTATCTTCAAGATTTATCCAGACTGACTGCTTCTCACACCCATGGCTGCATGTGGTCCAAGCCACCATAATTTCTTGCCTCAATTGTTAAAATGGCCTCTTGTTTCTTCTCTTGCTCTCTTATAGGTTATACTGCACATAGCAGCCCAAATGATCCTTCTGAAATGAAAGTTAGATTATGTCACTCCACTCAAAACCCTCCAGTAGCTTCCTATGCCACTCAGTGTAAAAGCCTAAAGTCCTTATGATGGCAAAACCTTGCATATCTGACCATGCCTCTCACCCCTAATCTCATGGTGGGTTATTTTCTCCTTTGCTCATTCTGCTCCTGCCCTAGTGGCCTTCCTTTTTCTTGCCAAGCACCTTACTACCTGTGGGCTTCTATACTTGCTGCTTCTTCTGACTAGATATTTATATTGCTTATTTCCTCTCTTAATCTTCACCAACAAACAGATAATCTAATGAGGTCAGATGCAGGACCCTGAATCTGGAAATATGCAAGAAGCTGGAAATAAAATGGTCTAGTCTAAGACAGAGCCATGACATAACAGGTCCTCAGAAATGATTACTGACTTGATAAAAGAAAGTATAAACCTTATACTTTATTTAGTTCAATAAACTGCAGTTTATAAGTACCGTGGGAATAAGTAGTATTGCTATGCTATTTATGGTATCTGTTTAATGAACAAAAATATCTACACAATTATACAAAAAAGGCAACACATAGTGGCACTAACTAGATTCTCCACAAGTGACCCAGAAACACCCCCCTGGGAGTGCTGATGTAGTCTCAGTGCAGTGAATCCAAGAGGCAGGACACACAGTGCTAAACACTCTAAGAGGCCCAGGAGGTCTCAGATGATCTGTATTTGTAGAGTTCCTTCCTCTTCTAAAGAGAAGGCTCCTTCAAAAGATCAGTCCTTCTACTCATCTCTGGGTTCTCCTCAAAGGGCACATTGAGGTGCTCAATAAAATTTGAACTGTATATGACTGAATTACATAAAATGTCTTGGGTTGTACTTCAATGTGTCTTGTTTGTTCCTCTTCATGCCTGTTCTTACTGTATATACTCGTGTATCTAGTGGTAAAAGATCTTTGGTTCCCCCTTCCCAATTTAAAGATTGCATGACACAAGGGAAAAAACCTGGTTGTGGTCCTGTGTCAGTTGATGAACTGAAGTCCCTTACTTCTGAGCCACAGGGAAGTTGGCTTTTTCCTACTTTGTATTTTTCCACTTTGGAGCTCTTTGATGATTTGCACCTATGTAACATAATATGAGGCAGTCCTTCCAAAGTGTTTAGTAAATTGTTAAAATGTGACACGAATGAAGTGGGGGGGGAGGGATTCCATAGCCAAATAAATTTGGGAAATGCTGGCTTAACCTTACTGGTCTTTATTAAAAGATGTTTCAAAACACTTAACTCTGTCAGTGTGCTTTATGAAGCATTTCCTAAGTTTCTGGTCTTTTTTGAGGATCCCTATGCATGAACCAGTGTTTCACAGAAAGAGCATTTTGAGAAACTTGGGTACGAAAGGTAAGAATTTCCTAAGGAGTAGTTCAGTGCTTTTCTGTTATGAGAAGCCAATATTAGCAGCCAGTAAATAACTAAGTGGACATAAAAAGGGTCTCTGATGTCATCTTGTAATGTAATTACTGAATATGAAATGTTTTGTTTTTTAACCCTAGACTTGGAATGGAAAATTATCTATGTGGGCTCTGCAGAAAGTGAAGAATACGATCAAGTTTTAGACTCTGTTTTAGTGGGCCCTGTTCCTGCAGGAAGGCATATGTTTGTATTTCAGGTAAGATTATTCTTGGTATGCTAAATATGTTTCTAAACAGACTATATCTCATGGTCCTTATCCCTTTGGGGTTAAATCACTGCTTCTGCTGCATTCACTTTTTATCTGCTTCTATGTTTTAGGAAGTCACTGTGTCATAAAGGAACGCCACCTCTCGATTTTGTGTGCTAGGGATGTTGATGTGATATTTACTTCCAGGTTTGCACAGCATGGAGTAAACCTTATACTGTGCCATGGCGCACGTGATGGTTAATTTTAGGCTCTTCCTGTGAATAGTCCCTTAGTATCAGACTTTCAAGGGGGTAGCTGTCTAGAACCCTATCAAAATGCATACTAACTAGTATAGTTAGTAATATGCATCTTCATGTTATGGTTTCAGCCATAATATAACAAAAACAACTTTATTTCAACATAATTAAGCTAGGTTAACAGGTATGTTACTAGAGATCTACTGTGTGATCTTGGGTCACTGGAATTGAAGCCCCACTTTACTAAAGCCTCTAATCTACACATTTTTTAGAGGATTACTGTTATAAATCTACTACTTTATTATTTGTGAGAGGAAATTCTAATATAAATCATGTTCTCAGATACTGGATCTGTGCGAAGACTTCAGATTATCTTCTGATTCAAAAGTGTTACTTCTTTTAATTCATGTTAAATTGTTGTATAAAACTATTCAATTTCCAATTATCCTTATTAGAGGGAAATATTTATAATAGTCCAAAAAGTAACTAGCTACAAGTTTTTAAATTAATTTTGTTACAAGTATTTCTATACAAAGAGTTTCATCAGTTAAATAGAAGCCACTGAAGAGCCTTTATCCCGAGAGAAAATTACCTTTCTATCCCTGACTCCCCATTTTCTCACTTCACAGATGGGTCCAATTTAAATGAATACTGTTTGTCAGATACAGGCCAAGAATCACTCAAACCAATGGTACCTTTAGAGCTGCTACGTTTCCCTCCCCTCTCCTAAATAGAGAATGCAGAATCTTGGTCTCCTAGCCTTAGTGCTTTTTATTAACAAGTGTGAAATAATTTACGGTACCTAAACAAATGGTTTAAAAAGCTCAAATATATTAACTAGAAGACTCAAATCTATTAATTAAAAGTGCTGTTAACCTGAGTTGTGTGAGTGCATAACCTTGGTGAAAGATGTGGGTACAGGAGCATGAGTGGTATAGGGGGAAGCACTGCAGTTATAGACCTAGGTCAAATCCTGTTTCACTGCTTGTTAGGCACATGTGACAGCCTCCCTAACATCCCTCAGACACTCCTGTCATCTATAAAATATGGATAATATATTACCTCATAAGAACATTCATAGAATTTAAGACAAATAGTGCCCTATTTCTATAATTAGAACTAAACTTTTAGTCTTTTAGCTTCTTGAAATTGTCATATAAAGAAGCAGTATTTGCTTTGACCTACAAGCTTGGTGGACCCTTACTTGACCGATGATAATTTATGACATATTAAGAAACTTAGTTTGACATGTAGTGATATACTTTTTTATGCTACTATAAAAACTTGCTAATCCATTTTCAAAACAAACCTTTAGAAATCTTTTCTATGTGTTTGTTGTTAAGAACACTCTAAGCTAAAAGCTTGGGAGTGTTATAGGAAAAAAAAATTTGCTTCTAGTGATTGTCCAGTGGTTTTACCTTGGTATCAGTGCACATGTTTTTCAAAAGCACAGAGGAAGCGTATTTGATTTAGATCGTATGGTTTCAGCTGACCATGTGTTTTTACAAAATGTACTATTATCAGCAAAAAGGGACTAAAATACAGTTTTTGTTCTGTGCCTTAAACAAACTGCCATAGTATTCTTGTCTGCCATGATTTTGCCTCTCATAATAAACATGCCTTTCTCATAAGTGTGTTAAAGATCTCTGCCTATCACTTCTCCAATCTAAATGATCAGAGAGGCCTACAGGTTTTTCTACTTGAATTTGCTCAAGCTGAATCCTTTGGCAAACAAGTTTTAAAACACAAACATGCCTAGAACCAATTTGCTGAGGGGAAGGGAAGCGATATGGGGGACAGCTCCTTAGCAATACTGAAGTCTCTATTTCCCATCTCTACCCACTTCCAGGTACATTAGAATCTCTGGGTACCCTGGAAGTAACCTAACCCTTCTGGGGAGGAGGGTGCACAGGATCTCTAAGATAAACAGCATGTTCTCAGGACAGACTCTCTGTCCCCATTCTGGTATCTCTCCAAAGAGATCATAAACCACTTCAGGGCAGAAACTAAGTTATGAATGAATTTCAAAATACTGTGTATATATTGTGTGCCCAGAGCTGTGCCGGACATGAGATTATAAAGATGAACTGGATGGGACTCCTGCCCAAGATAAAGCTTAGAATCACAGGCAAGATTGAAAGGTAAACCTATTTAGATTGTTAGACATCCATTAGTAGAGGATTTGTGTCAAGTAATATGAGTGCACAAAAAAAAATTTCTAACTTTTGAATTAGAAAGAGTTTCACTAAGAAGGATACATTTGATGCAAACTTCAGAAGATGAATTTTAAGGAATGACCTTTAGGCCATGAGAACAGTATATGCAAGGCACAGAGCATGAGAGATTATCATTGCATTTTAAAGAACCTGTGTAATTCCAGAACAAGAATAAGGGGTGCGGAGTTACAGGGAGTGTGAATGGAGATGTTGGCTGGAGACAATTGTGAAGGGCCTTGTAAATGAAATTAAAGAACTGAGATTTCTATCTCTTAGAAATGGGGGTAATCTGAAGTTTTAAAACCTGGTGAAGGATTAGGACTACATCTGTGCTTAGATAGCTAATGCTGGTAGTACTCCTAGTAATAAGCTAATTTAGGTCTGAAGGTTATGACAGGTTAAAATCATAAGACTATTGATATGTTTACTATATTTTCTGAAAGGTTTCATAATTGAATATTGCATAATCCTTCATAAATGACAATATGCTGCAGCCAGATTTATTTTCTTCTAGAAGTAGCGATGCTTTCAAGTACTCAGGGTACTTAGGTATACTGTGGAGAAACATGGGAACTGTATTTTCTGGCTATAAATCAGTCTCAGAAATGAGCATTTGCCTTCCCCAGTATGATTTTCAAGTTTTTGTTGGTGTGCCCTCAACTGATAGTGCACAAGGTAGTCAGAACTCCAGTCTTCCTTTCAGTTAACAGTCTTTTGTGATGTGTTTCTTTTCTTTTTAAATTATTCTAGGCTGATGCACCTAATCCAGGACTCATTCCAGATGCAGATGCAGTAGGTGTCACCGTTGTGCTAATTACATGCACCTATCGAGGTCAAGAATTTATTAGAGTTGGCTACTATGTAAATAATGAATATACTGAGACAGAATTAAGGGAAAATCCACCAGTAAAACCAGACTTTTCTAAGGTAATGTTCTGACTATTGCGTTTTCTTTTACTATACAGTTTTTTAAGCAGTTGCCATTTCATAGTAGACTATGAAAATGGCTTTGAGACCAAGTAAATTTGAGGTCCTTTTACCAACTGGGCAAAATAAATCATTCCTAATGGATGACCTCAAATCTCTCCAGATGAGTCATTAGTCATTAATATTGGTCAGGCACCTTGAGAGTCTGACAGGTTAAGAAATTGAAAGTGTCTCCTGTAAGAAACAGACCTTTGTTAATGGCTTTCTGTATGGCATTTCTTATACATCATGATTCTGTTCATTCAAATTCATGTTTGTTGTACTGATTATTCCATAATATTTTTGTCTGTAACTGTTCCCAAAATTGTGGGGGGAAGTTTTGTGTTTGTTTTTCATGTGAACATTGTTTTCTCAGAACATCTATATGCCTTATTTTATCTGCTATTCCTAGAGGTTAAACTAAAGGTCTTAAATATTTCTGGTGATGGAAAACAAGTTTAGCTTCTGAGTGCGAAACTGAAATCTCAATACTTAGTACTTTATGATTTTCTATTGGGAATTTTAACAGTTTTTATGACTGGTGATTTTTGAGGTTGAACACACCACTACCTGCCAGTTCATATAAGAAAAATTACATAGGCGTAAAATGGAATGTTCTTTCTGATAAAATAAGACTAGAATGTTTTTTATCCTGGTGTAAGACCTTCCACTGATCTGATTAGTTACCTATATGGTGCCTTGTATAGGAGAAAGAGAATAGACTAGAACACTCTTTTTGACAATGAGCCATAATAATTAAAAGTTAGGAAACCACCAATAACATTTATATTGGGGAAATTTTTCATTTTCCTTGAAAATATTACTGAAGAGATACCACATCAATCTAAAGAGCATATTGTTTGTTTAAAAAAAGCATCTTTTGAACCATTCACCTTCAAAAAAGAAGATTCTCTCCCTTCTATGAAACAGAAGTATTGAGGAGGTAGGTAGATATTTTGTTGGCTAGTAAAAGATGTGGATGAATTCTTTCAGATTCTCCATATCTTGTTTCCATTAGGATAAAATAATTTCTTTGCTGCAGCCCTAGTCCTTGTTTGTTAGTTATGTTTGAAGTGCTTTTTTGACTTATACCTTTGTACATATGTGAACGTAGCCCTTTGGAGTGCTAATAGAACCATTTTGTTAAGCTCCTATTTGTGTATGAGGATCTAATTTTCTTAGTATTTATCATTATATATTTCCTTCTTCCTCTAGCTTCAAAGGAACATTTTGGCATCTAATCCCAGAGTCACAAGATTCCACATTAACTGGGAAGACAACACAGAAAAACTAGAAGATGCAGAGAGCAGTAATCCAAATCTACAATCACTTCTTTCAACAGATGCATTACCTTCAGCATCAAAGGGATGGTCCACGTCAGAAAACTCACTAAATGTCATGCTAGAATCCCACATGGACTGCATGTGACTACCTGCCATCCTTTTAGTACAAATTAAGCTATAAAAACATACAGAACTATTTCCCTGAAATTCCATAAGTCATAGTCAAGACACAATGTGAAGAATTTGTTTAAAAAAACATCCTGTAGAAAGTTTATAAGAAAACCAGTATTTGAGCAAATTGTGGAATATAAATACAACTATTTTTAAGTAATTTTTTTCTCTAATGTGTTATTTTATTTGTTCTGAAACTAATCTGATCAAAACATATATATTGTTTTCTTCTCTATATGTAATTAAAGCACTTATAAAGAAATATGAATCATTAGACCAGGTTGTAAAGATGTTTTAGCCTCCTGGACAATAATCTTTGGACCACTATTTTAGTGGCCTTCAAAAGAACAAAGTTCACTTCAACTAAAATGTTTTTTCCTATAGTAACACAATTTGGTTTTATAATTCAAGGGGCAAATTTCCTTTTTTTTTTGTGGCATGTCCTTAAAGAAGAGATTGGAAGTCAACCATATGCTACCAAGAACTTTAGGATCTGATTTTCCAGGCCATCTTCAAGCCTCCTGTGGCTGTTACAGTTCACATAATGTTAGCATTCAATTTGGTTTATAAGGTAATAACAAATATCGTTAATTCTTTATAAAGTTCTCTGGTTATGGTTTCTGTTTTTGTAACAGTTTAGGACATCAGAGCACTCCTTGAATCATACAGCATTATTATCCCGTGAATTCAACACGTCAAGAGCAGATATAAACTCCCTAAGTTTAAGAATAGGAGAGTATAATGACTTAGATCTATTCATTAGATTTATAAAAAAACTATAAACTTAACTCTTTAAAATTGTTTTGACAGGTCATTTGTTGACAGCATTTATATAAAAACAGTGGATTTAGAAAAGTATATTTAGCTTTATCGTAACAAGATAAGTTACTATTTTGGAAATATATATATTTTCACACATGTAGTACTCTTCTCCATATATATATTTTCACACATGTTGTACTCTCCTTCATATCCCCTGACATTCATGCAGAATATGATTAGGCATATTTGTGGTTGATATAGTCTAGATAGCTTTTCCAGATGGTTTTTTTAAAGCAATCTTGGAAAGCATTAAATGGGCCAAAAGGTTCTTTTTCTTTGATGAGAGCTAGGTCCTTCCTCAAAAGTTTCTTGACACTCCATTAAATTAAGTGTAGAATATTTTCATTACTCTTGCTGCTAAGCAAGACATCAGCCATATGATGCAGAGTTATGCAGTGCCTTCATAACTAAAACTTTTATACTGCACTTTTTAAAGCTTTTATTTTGAGGAAGGGAAAAAGGGCATTTGAATATGGAATCTAAGTTGTACATATTTCCTGTCATTCTAAAAAGTGAACTTGTGAAGCAAAATTTTGCTAAATGTTAAACTTTGAAATTTAATATACCAGATTATTAACATCCTGTCCACTAACTAGTTCATAAGTTTTAAAAGCAAAATACATCCTACTGTTAAAACTATATGAAGAAAATTTCATTTTTGTCTAATTGCAATTAAAAGAAAATGTTAAAATATTAAAATGAAAATAAAATACTTTCCAACAAAGAGCTCAGTGATTAATATAACAAGGACAAGATATGTGCTTGTTATAAATAAAGCATATATAAGACAAATTACAAATAAAGCAATTCATGGCTGAGTTTTTATTCTGACTAATAATAATATTGGTTTGTATTGACATCTAAGAGTTAGGTTTTTATATCAATTTATAAACAGCCAATTTTCACAGAAGTTTAAAAACTCACTAAAAATGTTATGGTTCAAGATAATTTTTAAAAATTACAATAGAATTAGAATTCAAATATTAGAAACTATTAATTTTTCCCCCTTGTTTAGCCTTATTTATGGGGCATCAATTATAGCTAGAAGGTTTAGAACTGTTTTTCCCCTTTTTGATCATCACAAATAGCTGTATCCTGAGAAGGTAAACATGAACAAATTACTTATGCCATGGAAGAGATGGGTGAGTACGTCGGAGGGAATGAGGATATCATTTGAGCTGAAAAAGCTCATGAAGTCTGAGGAACATGCATGCATTTGCTCATTTGTTACATAACCTTAGGCTTCCATGTGGTCTTACCCTTTGGTTTTAGGATTTAGGGTTTCTAGTTTTACCAAGAAAGTCTATGGCAGTGGTTTTCAAACTTTTTTACTATAATCCATGGTAAAAAAAATTTAAGTATGACCCCATAACAAGAATGCATTTATATTTAACAATTTCATGAATATGCAATGCACCCTTATAGTGCATCTTCATTGTGTGTAGTGTATTCTGGCATCTTATTGTATTTCATTTTGGAAGTGCTGGTTTTGACTCTGAATTGACTTATGACTAATGGGTTGTGATACATAGTTTGAAGAAAGGCTAGTCCTGCCCTTTTGGTAGATAGTAGCAATAATTTTTCTATAGTTCTAAAATTTATACGCCCTATACCTGTCTTTTTATCTCATTTGGATTATGATCTTGGATTAAAAAAGGGGAAAAGTACTGATATAGTAAATCAGTAGCCATTCACTTTAAAACAGAATACTCTGAAATTATTTGTAGCTCACAGATAGCTTAGACTCATTTCTAGGCACTATGTAATTAATTTAGGAAACATTCCACATAATTACGTGGGAAACACCTTTATTGTCATTTTATACAGAATTCTAGAACACTGGGACATAAGAATTTTAAAATGCATATGAAGTATTCTTTATATTCTTGCCTACTTCCCTTCCAGTATCCTGAAGCTCGTTCAGGATAATAGACAAGCCTCTCTCAATTCACAAATGCTTTCTTGTCAGTTTTTAATATCTGTTCAGTTATATTCCAAAACCTGAGAGCTCCTTAGAATGGGGCGCTCATTATGTAGGACCATTAATGGAGCATTTGCTGCTTTATGATAAGTTTTAAATATAAGCTTCTCCTAAGAAATTTGAGCACAAGCTATGGGCATTAGTCTCCCCTAACAAGTAGCAAATAATATCTGTAAAATGTGAAACCAATGGCCTATTAAAGGACAACAGAAAAAATATTTCCCCAATCAAAATGGTGTAAACACATAAAATGGCACCAAAACATGTTTAAAATAATTTTTTCCTAGTCACTTCATAATCAAATCTTGACATTCTGTCTGCAAAGGCTTTTAAATGTACTTGTTGAATCATTACAATGTATGAACAAAGCTCCACACTGCAATAATGAAAATACACTTTCTATACTAAAACATTTTCTATCCAAGAATTTTCCATAGAAGCTCCCATTCCTGGTGACATCTATGGGCATGAAAATGCCTTAAGCACAACACCATCTACTTTTGTAAAGTGAGATTTTTTTTCCCCCTTATTTATTTCAACATTCTATTTGCTGGATTTTCATAAAATGCCAGGTGAGACTTTTTCTTGCATAACTATGTATGAAGTTAATCACTAGAGAATAAAGAAAATCAAATAGGATCATTCAAAACTAAGATGCGAAAAGATATATTGGATAAGTTTTTGAAAAAAAAAGTTTAAATGATGGAGTTTTTAAAATACTTTCTTAGAGCTACAAAAGACACGCTACATATTTCTTTCAACTTTTGACAATTCAAAAGTTAGCCTGAAATTTATCCAATTACAGGTGCTTTTCATAAGGAAAAAAACCATTGTTATCTTTTGTAGTAACATTAAATTGAAAGTGTCATGTAAAATACCTGCACTTGTAGATCCAATTCCTGTGGTAAGCACAGATCTTGGTGTAATCTTCGCTGCATATTTGAGAAATTGAGATTTCCCTGTGCCAGGATCCCCAACCAATAAAAGATGAGATTCACCTAGAAAAAATAATGTAAAGTTTTAAATTCCCATGAAAAGACCCATGAACAAGTGTAATCAATCAAAAAGTAGTCTACTTGAAATGCCAACACAATTTATATTTTATTTAGTACTTTTAAGTTAAGGTTATTTGAGGAAGGATTTAACTAGAATATCTTTAGAAAAGTTAATTGTTATTATAAATAGCAATCTTTGATTTCTGAATGACATTTAAAATCTAACTTCTAATAGATTTTGTACTATTTCCAGATGTTTAAAAAAATGTTTAACATTTTTAAAAAGTTAGAGGCTTATAAAGTTTGATTTTATTTAATCCATTTTTAAATACCAAACTATTGTGATTAAATCCTTCCATACAAGCCATACAAGTATTGTACTGTATTTTTATTTAAGCACTTTTTAAAAAGTATTTGGGGCTTTATAAGTGCTTTATAAATGTCACATCACTTATGATTCCAACAGTTAAGTGAAAACCTTTTCGTTTTATGAAAATTTTAGTTTAATGAAATACCTATCTTAGACTTCTCTTATTTTTCAAATGTAACAAAGAACATAAGAATATCCTGTTATATGTATTATCTCACTGATCAAATTTCTTCAGTAATAGTTGAGTATTTTCAAAATGTATTACTAGGAAACACCTATTTAAGCTCGATATTTAGCAGAGTGCCTAGCAAACAGGTGGTAATCAACACACAATACACATAAACCTTATTATACTTCCATACTGTACTATATGGTTTTAGAGTACCTACTAACAGCCTGATTGACAACGTCTTGTTTTAGTTTAGTCTATGCCAGATTCAGGTCAGTTAAGTGTGTTAGCCACAGAAGAGCTTTCTGCCATTTGGACATAATTACATACTTAGAGTAATCTTTGCTAGAATGTGTGACCAACAGCAGCACCACACGGCAGATGGTACATTTGCTACCCACCAGCAGAAGGGCAATCAGCAGGCAGATGACTGAGAGCAGCAGTCTGAGAGAAACACACTATCCGTCACAGATGGAGAGACGTGACTTGGGAGACATTGAAAGGAATATTTCTAATCTTTTCCTCTTGAAGAGAGACTGGAGATCCGATGAAAAACAGTAATGAAAATGTAAAGATTTTATTTTGTGGCACCCTTACACACTGGAGCAGAACTATATACTCATTGGAAAACTTAGAATTTCTTTTAGTCCTTAGAATTCTAGAAAGTAGCTCCTGATATACAGATGTTAAGTAGTAGACAGTCAGGAAAATAAAGGTCAACAAGCAATTTTTATTAAACAGAGAAAAATTCTAGCTCCTCTCCTATATATGTTAATACTTCTCAAAATTTTAAAATAGACACTAACCTCTGACTCGTGTTCCTGTAGCATCAGTCCTTTGAATCCCACCAGCCAGCACCATGGCCACAGCAAGCTTTACTAGATACATCCCAAAAACTTGAGGGCATAAGCTGGCCAATATTTCATTCCTTCCTAGGAAAGACAGAAAAATCAGGAGTTACTAAGAATTTTCAAGAAATCCTAAATGAAATTTTCCTCCTAATCCTATCTTCCTATAAACACATTGTACCAAAATGATCAAGAGGACCATTTCCAAATGACTAAAAGGAGTGAATAACTTAGTTCTGGTCCTAAAAGTCCTTTTCTTATTAATGCCACGACATGAAAAGTCTCCTTTTTATTCCTGGATGCTATGTGCTTAAGTATCTATAAATTTATCATACTTCAAAAGAGACAGAGAAGAATCTTTTCTGCTGCATCAGGCCAACGTTATCCTTTAAAAATTATACTGGCTGTACTTTCTGTGCAGTAATTTCAGTAAAATTATTCCACTGCCTTATCTCAGAAACAATGAGTTGGATTGTAGGAGCCAGTAACTTTTAAATCAGGACAACAGATACTTGGAGCTCGCGGACCTTCCCCAGAGGTGTAAGAGAAGAAAAAGCAATCCACCCTATGAGTCAAATCAGCATTTGCTCTGAGCAGTTTGGTAAATTATGTTTTATTTAGAATAAGTTATTAGAGTATTGGGGTATTAAGATCATTATAAACTTCAACTCTAGCAATCCAAGCTGGAAGTCTTGGATTCCTCTAATCATGTGCTTGAAATATGAGAATACCAGAGTTTTAAGTTCTGTTTTCAAAAATGTCAAAACGCCAGATCTGAGAATCTGCCTATGAATAAATCCATTAATAAAGTAGGTATTTCAGTCACTGGCCTAATCAACCCATAGAGGAAACTATGATATTCTAACAAGTCTTTCCTGAGCCTGTTTTAACGTAAAAGGATCTACCTCTGTGATAGCACTCTGTGTTTACATCCATATTACCAGAAGCTAATGCCCACATGCTGTTAACTAATTTGCATGTCTCAGGCCTTTTATACTTATCTCGGAGTCTGTACTCATGTTTCAGTGATAGCTGTTTTGAGGAGGAAAATACTCATAAAAGTATTCCTTTAGCTGATAATTCTAGTTCCAGAAGCTTTCCTGCCAAACTATCAAGGGAAAGGAAAGAGTCTTCCTCCATAATTTGTGACCCGTTACACAAAGGCTACTTATTGTAATGAATCAAAATCGATGCAGTGGCAACTAAGCTATGCTGATATGTGCTGGGATGGCAGAAATGGTGAAGAAGGAAGATATTTTAGTAAAAAGGGGGCCAAAATTAATTGGTAAATCTTGAAAGGAAGTTTATTAACTGTTGGAGGGAATCTTCTCTTTCCTGAGGTAGAAAAGCTCAGAGAAAAAAAGATAAAGTCCTGGGATCTAAGATGATGAGAAGACCTGACAAAAGGCAGGTAAATTCTGACCAGAATCTTGAGATTACACATAGAAACAAAGAAAGAAGAAATAGCCCCATCAAGCAGGGTTAAGAGTAATCAAAGTGACTTGGGAGACATCCAGGTCAAAACTAAACCAAAGAACCAATTCTGTTAGTAGAGTTGGATTCAGTGACTAACGTGCCTCCAGGAAGCCTATATCAGTGGTAAAGTACACAGGCTCTGGTGTCAGACATCTGGATTCAAATCCCAGTGTAGCTGTCTGACCTTGGGCAAGTTTCTTAACCTCTACTTTCACTTCCTCATCTGTAAAATGGAAACAATAATGGTATTGCATAGAATTGTTGAGGATCAAAGGAGTAAGTGTATAGCACAAAGAAAAAACAATACCTGGCACAGAGTAGGAGCTGCTTAACTGTTAACTATTACGTTACCTATACTAGTTGTGCTTACTTCTGATCTTAAGATTTCCTACATTGTAGCCAACACAAGAGATATACTATGAAGGCAGGTCTGAGGAACTAGAGAAAAAGCAAAGGGGGATGGGCCATTCCTCTAATTTGTCGTCTAGAGGTGAAAGATTTGATTCCTCGGACTGCGGCAAGAGACTCCCATGACCATATCATGGAAGAAAATGTGTTGAGTAGATACTACTCCCATCCTTCCCTCCCTCCCTAATTTCTGGTTCTTGACCATGTTAATAGTGTGGCTATGGCCTTCAGTTATCCCAACGAAAAGAGCTTTTTAGATCTATGAGAAATGAGTCACCCAGAGTGGTTTGATGGCCCAAAAGACCCCAACTCCTATATTTGAGTTTCTATTGAGCACCTAAGCAAAAAGGTCATGGGATCCCTGTTGTCACTGTGATCTGAATAAAGCCTTTGGCTCCTCCTAAGTCAATATCCACAGTATCAGGTCTTAATGAAGCAGGTCAACCTCCAAGAGCTGAGCAGTGAAGTCATTTCTGGCTTTAAGCTAGCCAAATGAAGACACACTGTTGGATATAGCTCCTCACCTTCACCTACTCCACCTCACCCTGAACAAACACACATATACTTCGAAATTGTGAAATACAGTGTGCTGGTACTGGGTACTTAGAAACTAAGTAAGCAGACTCCGTTCATACTAAAAAAGAAAACATGCCTTGTTTCCTCCCTGTCTTCTTACTTAGATTTCTCAAAAGATTATTATATTTTTTCTTTTTATTGAGTAAATGAGTTGTACATCTACACCCTTCTAATTAAAACAAGATAGATTCTTTTTAATTGTCAGCGCAAAGCACTTCTGATGGTCTGATCAGAGCACTGTATGATGCTTTTCCTTCACTGTCACTAAGTAGAGTTGAGCTGTGGTACTGCAATAAGGAATGACTATGCTCCAAGGAAGAGCTACAGAGTTTTTAAGGACCGGATCCTAAGAAACAATTTTAAGTAAAAAAATTCATTTAAAAATATATATAATTCTTAAAAGGCTTGTTTAATAAAGCTATAATATAGAGACCTTTTCTTCATTCTGTATAAAGAATGATTGAGAACCACTACATACATGCTACACACGAGCAAGAAGAAAAAAAAAGTCATCCCACAAAATAAAAGCGAATTGCTTCTATTTAGGCAAATAAGAACCTTACTTTGTGAAATGGTATCTGTGTAGTTCAGCATGTGATTTAAGAATAAAGAAATCATTATGTGTTAGATTGGAGATGAAGTTTATTAGAAATAGCCTTCACAGTTTATAAATGTCAAAACGCCAGATCTGAGAATCTGCCTATGAATAAATCCATTAATAAAGTAGGTATTTCAGTCACTGGCCTAATCAACCCATAGAGGAAACTATGATATTCTAACAAGTCTTTCCTGAGCCTGTTTTAACGTAAAAGGATCTACCTCTGTGATAGCACTCTGTGTTTACATCCATATTACCAGAAGCTAATGCCCACATGCTGTTAACTAATTTGCATGTCTCAGGCCTTTTATACTTATCTCGGAGTCTGTACTCATGTTTCAGTGATAGCTGTTTTGAGGAGGAAAATACTCATAAAAGTATTCCTTTAGCTGATAATTCTAGTTCCAGAAGCTTTCCTGCCAAACTATCAAGGGAAAGGAAAGAGTCTTCCTCCATAATTTGTGACCCGTTACACAAAGGCTACTTATTGTAATGAATCAAAATCGATGCAGTGGCAACTAAGCTATGCTGATATGTGCTGGGATGGCAGAAATGGTGAAGAAGGAAGATATTTTAGTACAAAGGGGGCCAACATTAATTGGTAAATCTTGAAAGGAAGTTTATTAACTGTTGGAGGGAATCTTCTCTTTCCTGAGGTAGAAAAGCTCAGAGAAAAAAAGATAAAGTCCTGGGATCTAAGATGATGAGAAGACCTGACAAAAGGCAGGTAAATTCTGACCAGAATCTTGAGATTACACATAGAAACAAAGAAAGAAGAAATAGCCCCATCAAGCAGGGTTAAGAGTAATCAAAGTGACTTGGGAGACATCCAGGTCAAAACTAAACCAAAGAACCAATTCTGTTAGTAGAGTTGGATTCAGTGACTAACGTGCCTCCAGGAAGCCTATATCAGTGGTAAAGTACACAGGCTCTGGTGTCAGACATCTGGATTCAAATCCCAGTGTAGCTGTCTGACCTTGGGCAAGTTTCTTAACCTCTACTTTCACTTCCTCATCTGTAAAATGGAAACAATAATGGTATTGCATAGAATTGTTGAGGATCAAAGGAGTAAGTGTATAGCACAAAGAAAAAACAATACCTGGCACAGAGTAGGAGCTGCTTAACTGTTAACTATTACGTTACCTGTACTAGTTGTGCTTACTTCTGATCTTAAGATTTCCTACATTGTAGCCAACACAAGAGATATACTATGAAGGCAGGTCTGAGGAACTAGAGAAAAAGCAAAGGGGGATGGGCCATTCCTCTAATTTGTCGTCTAGAGGTGAAAGATTTGATTCCTCGGACTGCGGCAAGAGACTCCCATGACCATATCATGGAAGAAAATGTGTTGAGTAGATACTACTCCCATCCTTCCCTCCCTCCCTAATTTCTGGTTCTTGACCATGTTAATAGTGTGGCTATGGCCTTCAGTTATCCCAACGAAAAGAGCTTTTTAGATCTATGAGAAATGAGTCACCCAGAGTGGTTTGATGGCCCAAAAGACCCCAACTCCTATATTTGAGTTTCTATTGAGCACCTAAGCAACAAGGTCATGGGATCCCTGCTGTCACTGTGATCTGAATAAAGCCTTTGGCTCCTCCTAAGTCAATATCCACAGTATCAGGTCTTAATGAAGCAGGTCAACCTCCAAGAGCTGAGCAGTGAAGTCATTTCTGGCTTTAAGCTAGCCAAATGAAGACACACTGTTGGATATAGCTCCTCACCTTCACCTACTCCACCTCACCCTGAACAAACACACATATACTTCGAAATTGTGAAATACAGTGTGCTGGTACTGGGTACTTAGAAACTAAGTAAGCAGACTCCGTTCATACTAAAAAAGAAAACATGCCTTGTTTCCTCCCTGTCTTCTTACTTAGATTTCTCAAAAGATTATCATATTTTTTCTTTTTATTGAGTAAATGAGTTGTACATCTACACCCTTCTAATTAAAACAAGATAGATTCTTTTTAATTGTCAGCGCAAAGCACTTCTGATGGTCTGATCAGAGCACTGTATGATGCTTTTCCTTCACTGTCACTAAGTAGAGTTGAGCTGTGGTACTGCAATAAGGAATGACTATGCTCCAAGGAAGAGCTACAGAGTTTTTAAGGACCGGATCCTAAGAAACAATTTTAAGTAAAAAAATTCATTTAAAAATATATATAATTCTTAAAAGGCTTGTTTAATAAAGCTATAATATAGAGACCTTTTCTTCATTCTGTATAAAGAATGATTGAGAACCACTACATACATGCTACACACGAGCAAGAAGAAAAAAAAAGTCATCCCACAAAATAAAAGCGAATTGCTTCTATTTAGGCAAATAAGAACCTTACTTTGTGAAATGGTATCTGTGTAGTTCAGCATGTGATTTAAGAATAAAGAAATCATTATGTGTTAGATTGGAGATGAAGTTTATTAGAAATAGCCTTCACAGTTTATTTTCTCAGAGGATACCTCCAAGGAAGAATGAGAACATATATTTGAAGATTTAGTGTTTCATGCATTTGGAATTTTTAAATAAAAATACTCTACAAACCAAAAGGCTATGATGTTTTCATCTATGTAATGACATTTTAGTAATCAAAATTTTTGCTATGATGACAAAGCTTATTTTTTGCATCTTTCCATCTGTCATCATCTCATTCCTATTTATTCTCTATTTTAAAATCTTCAGATAAAACAGTGTGAAGCTGTCCATATAATGTAAAGCACGTCTGAAAGAAACAGTGGCTTTAACAGGAAGAGGTTATCATAATAACAGCAGTCCCCAATCTTTCTGGCCCCAGGGGCTGGTGCTTCTATGAAAATCTAATGCCTGGTGAGCTGAGGTGGAGCTGAGACAGTGAGGCTAGCACTAGCACTAGCACTGGGGAGCAGCTACAAATTACCTCCTGCTGTATGGCCTGGTTCCTAACAGGCCACCGACAGGTAACTGTCAGTGACCCGGGAATTGGGGACCCTTGATAATGAGTTTTGCCTACTTAAGGAGGAATTATATATTTAATTGGTAAAGAAGGTGGAAAACTCTGAAACCATTTTGGCAGTATAAGATGTTAAAATAATAGAAATGGAAAATCTCTTGGAATTCAGCCTCAATTTTCCAAGAAGATCTCTAAATAGAAGACTGTATCAGAAAAGGGCTTCGAAGGGAGGTTGTGGCTAGAAGTACTGACTGATGCTACTACTCTCTGAACTCAGTCCCTGAGCCATGCAGCATGTAAGGCTGCTCCCTAATCACAGACAACACATTGAACAATTGAGTAACATGCCATTAATAATTATCATCTTTATACCCTTAATCACAAACCTGCAAAGGGATCATTCTTATAATGGTCCCAAAAATCTTCAAATTCCTTTCGAACCTCTTCATCCATGATGATCCCTGCAGACTGCTCATTATTTACTTGGACATAATTGGCTTTCAGGACTATCTCCACTTCACAGCGCACATCTTGCTGAAAGGGCTTCCATCGTTGCATTACAATCCCATGAATAGTGAGGTCATCACCTGGGAAAAAGCATCAAGTCCAGCAGTAGCAACCTGCATGCTGGATGCAGAGTCGCATAACAAAAGACCAGAACTAAGAAATAAACCACTCTCTGACCACGGTTTAAAGTGCTGTACGTTCATCCAGCACTCATTCAGTAAACAATCTGGGTGTAAAAAACCACCACAGGTTCCTGATTGTTTTAAACAGGTATTTGTATCTGTGCAACTAAAAGTTCAAGTGAGCACTTTTATTTTTCTTAATCTGTTACATCAGTACCACATCGAATTATTAGCCTTTACAGGGAATAGTTTACTGAATCATTTATTCATCGTTATTACACTGGGTAAAGTATGCATTCTCTCCGAGTTTCTAGCCATAGAGTTCTCATTTAAAGAGGTGAGAATTGCAGCCAGAGGATTAAATTATAATCAATTTGTCATCTGGAAGGAAACAATCTTTTGATTACTGATATTAGCTAGTTTCTTATATATTAATTTTTACTTACCACATTTGGTAACATTTTATTCACTGACTTTTTTCTTACTGAACAAAAAAATGAACGAATCAAGAAATGAACACCTGTTCTATGTCAAAGCTCCTCTCCATAAACTAGGAAAGCATAAGACACAATGCTACTTGTTTCTTCTTAGTTGGTTCTTTCTCACCTGAGGAAACTTTCCCATTCCTGATGGGCAAAACAGTATATTTTTATAGATTTTCCTATAAGTCTTTGGGGCAGTTTATAGGCACATTCTCCAAACACTGACATCTGTAATTATTATTACATATAATTCATGCATCAGTACAAGTCTTTATGAATGCTTGGCATCCAATATTTTGGTGCTGTATAAAAGGGAATCAAAAAGGGACACGATCCTAGTCCCCAAAGATTTGAATCTGTTGGACATACCCCAAAGCCAGTCCTGGTGCTTATATTTTGCACAACAAATACTGCCTGTGAACTAACAGGCATATCTTTATTTCCAAGACTGTGCCAAATATATGGCATTTGCTGATGCAAAACGCCTAACACTCTCTAAATTTCAATATGTAATGTGTAATCCACAGAGCTTTTGATATTCTGAAGAAAAGTGTTCTATAAATGCTAAATCCATAGAACTGGTGGTAGCAATTCACAGAATAGAAAGCATATTTCTCGCCAAAGGCAAAAACATAGTAACAAATTAAATAGGCAGTTTACATATGTCTTCAAGAGCCTTCCTAAAAGATGGTTTTTAAATCCGATCAAGAATAATGGTCATTTATTGTCTGCCTCAAATTTTTAAGATGAAAATGAGTCTGGCAACTTTATATGAGCACTTAGAATAGTCCTCTACTATTGTCATTTTAATGGGTCATACTTAGGTTGTTTCTAAATTAGTCAAATGAGGAACTTAACTTTTAGATATAGCACTCACTAGTAATAACTGGACTTTAATAAGCAGTGATAATGTGGAAAATGTAGAGTACTGAAGAACAGTCAATAGTACTGACTCGTCAGATTTGGATTTAAATCCCAGCATTACCACTTGCTGGCTATGTGACATTGGGCAAGTTACCGAACTTTGCTATGCCTATGTCTTGACCTACAAATAGGAATAATTATACTTACATCATAGGACTATAGTGAGAATTAAGTCAGATAATGCTTGTAAATACAATATCTAGAATGTAAGTGCTCAAAAAGCATTAGCTATTATTATTCTAAACCTACATTTGTAGAAGCAATACCTTTAAAAAGCCTTTAATATATAGGTTTCATTTACTCAAATATGTTTGAACAGCAGATTCACATGATCATCAGAACAATTATGAGATATATAAAACAGTCCAAGGCAATAGATGCTCATTTTAAAGTTTCCTATAGTAAGTTATTATAAACAATGTTATACTCGGGAAGCTAAAATCCTTACTTTTATACAATCCAATCTCTTTGTGCCTCTCTGCCTTCTGCAATATATTTACCACTGTAGCCTTCTCCAGTCAGACCCATCTCTGATCTACTGTACTGACAGTTATCAACACACAACCTCCAACTTCATTACTCTGCAATGTCAGATTGGGGTTCCTAACTGTAAATTCTTGAAGGGCAAGGATTATGCCATTTATATCTTTTGGTTCTTAAAGAGGTTTGTAGCTATAGATAAATGAAAAAATAGCTGTTGACAGACTGCTTCCTCCATTCTTTATTATTACTGACATGTGAAAGAAAAATAGCTTAACATTTTTTTCAGTGCAGAAAGAATTCAGTTTAGAGGAAATGCATGAAAACACCTTATTCTCTATCAAAGGATAGAGAATAATCTGCTTTGCTGATCCAAATAGTATAGATTTTGGTTAAAATCTAGAGTTCCTATATGAACAAAGTGCTTTGACATAGCTTGTGTATTTCGTAGGAAATCCATGAGCAAAGCTGTCATTTCCTTAGTATACTGTTTAGATAACTATAAACTGTTCATGAATTTGACATAAATTTCAGAAAGTATGGGTTGGTGATTCTTGGATGGATGGGGGAAGTCTTTTGATAAAAGAATTATTCTTGACTGTAGATACTCTTTTGAGTATTTGCCTCATCGCTTTTATGAAATATCAGCTCAGTAAATGTTTTATAAATGAGGCATTTGGAGAAGTCTAGGGTTAAGAAATGGGAAATGATGGATTTTGTTGAAATGAAGCATGTTTGATCTGTCCAGTAGAGAACTGGGATGTGGAATAAGAGATCAGACATACCTGTTACTGCCCAGTAGACAAACCTGTGGTACTTTGTTTTTGGATAGAGATGAAGAGTGTTTTAGTGACAATGGGAAATATTTAACGCAGAGAATGTTGAGGTGAATTAAAAGGCAACTGCTGACATTCAGTTAAGGTTTAGCAATCATTTCCATTTTCTGACTCACCTTCAATTTAATTTAAATGTTAAAAAAAAAAAAGAAAAAATTGTTAGGCAGTTTTTAAGTTTTTTGGAATAAGAGCAGGAAAGAGAAAAAGTAAGCTCTCATATCCTCCTCACAAACGAAGGTCTGGACAAGGCCTGAGAATGCATGTAGAGAACAGAAGATGCTGGTTTTAGAGGAACAAGTTTCCATTTTGGGGCTGGAAACAGTAGTCTTAGCGAAACTGATGAAATATTTGTAGCTCTGAGGACAACTTTGTTTGGGATTAAAAGTTTACAAATCCAAAAGATTTTCAAACCCTATAGCAAAGTCTTCTGTCAATATGGTAAGATAGTGAGGGAACACTATATAGGTCATCCAGACCAACCGCCATCATGAGGCCTAAACATCTACCAAGATGCTGTACATCCTCTGCTTAAAGTCACCATCATCGGAGGCCCATGTCAAGCACCTTGAGTTGTTAGATACTAAGTCAAAATTTACCTTCCTGTAGCTTCAGCCCATTGAAACCCAAGAGCATCTTCTATAATTCCAATTCCATTTCTATATGACAATCTTCCAACTAATGAAAGTTGGCTGTCACATTCTTCCTGAGGCTTATCCATGCTAGACACCCACAGTTCTTCCAATATGGTTTCAAGTTTCCTCATAATTTAGGCAATTGGCCAGTGGAAACACTGAGGACCCTCAGAGGACAGAAGACCATAATTCAATATGACTCCTATAGTGGTGTCAGCAACACAGAACAGAGAGAAACAATCATCTCCTTTCTTCTAGACACCAATAAGGCTGCAGTAGCATTTGATAGTTCACATCCTCTGATGCATCTTACATAATTGCCCACTAAACCCAACATTTTTAAAAGTTGCTCCTGTTGAGCTATGGTGCATTGAAGAGAGTTCAGAACTGGAAGTCAGTGGAACTTGGTTCATGCTCTAGTTCTGTCACTTAACTCTCCAAGTGACCTTGAGCAAGTCAGGTTCTTCATCTATAAAACAAGCAGCTGGACTAGACTGCTAAGCTCCAGCCCAGTTCTTTTCCTGCTATTATGTCCCACCACTATGCCAATCTCTGTTCCCAGGTGAAAAATTAAGCCTCCACACTCACTCTCGGGAAAAGAAAAAGTGGCTTTTCCGAATCAGTATGTTAGGACCTCCTACACAAGCTAACAAAAGTTAATGCTTACCAGATTTGCAACTGTCTACTAAGTCATCTTCTAGGATAACCTTCATAGATCGTGGAATACTTCCAACGGATAGCCTCTGAACCTAACAAGGAAAATAAAACATATACCGAGTATGCTTAAATACGTGCTAAGCATTAAAAAGCCTGGCAATTCTTGAAATTACTATTTCTATTTCTCTAGTATTATTATACAATCTAATTATGAACGGGATTTATGGGATTTTCTTGCAAACTGTATCTACTATCAGTTTAAGAATTCACTAAAACTAGAGTGAAATAAAATGCCAATATGGAAAACATCTCCAAATATAATCTACCTTGTGGATGGTCAAAATAAACACATGCTCGACAACTTAAAATAAGTTACTTAGAATTGAGAGCTATTTCTCTCCTGATCTCTAGTCACAAGGCCTGACATGAATCATTAAGATCCTTTGATTATTCCTTAGGAACAGAACGCTGGTGGACATGTGCCCAGTAAAAAAACAATGTATCTCCCAGACTCCCTTGCATCCAGGTACGGTCATACAACTACGTTCTGGTCAATGAGATATAAGTACATGTGATGTAGGAGACTTTGAAGGAGACTACTTAAATAGAGGCTTGGATTAGATGGCAGGTGCTTTTGCCTATCCTTCCTTGTTTCTGTTCTCTGACTAGGATACAAATGTAATAGAGTTGTAGCCACCATCTTAGACTATAGACAACCATAATACAAGCCGTGAGTTAAAAATGGTATAGAAAGACAGGAGTCTGAGTCCTTGACATTGAATAAGCCTTTGTGTTTAAGCGGCAAGTAAAAAAAAAAAAAAAAAAAAAATCAGGCTCACTTTCATGTATTAAAGAGTGGTTATGTATGCCTTAATTGTTTCCTATCTCTTAGTTAAGTACAGCTAGTTTGAACTTCCTAAATATCTTCTTAATTTTAATATAATTATTAAGCCACTCCACAACCCACTTGCCAGTATAGAAAAGATGTATACATATGTCATGGTCTATATAAAAGATGCTCTATATAAAAGATGTATACATATATCATGGTCTCTAAAAACTATCTTCAAATACATGTGCAATAGTTTCATACTTGATCTTCTACAATGTGATGATGCAAGTTTTTATTTGTAATCCATTGTATGTTCCCTAGTTCTAGAAATTTGCCCATAGCTGAAAAACGCTTCTTCAAATGTCATTTTTTTCTCATTTGATCATTTACCTGTTCCTGAATTTTGATTTCCTGATAATCTCTACATCTGGTTGGAGATGAAGATAAGCCGGAGAGGCAAGTGAATTTTGAAGAATCACAGCTCTCCAAACTGGGACATGACGACGGCCGGCAGAACGTATAGTACTGCTCAAAGTCGGCCTTCACCACAAATACATGCTTGCATTTGTTACATATGTAATCCCGTTCGAATTCCAGGATCTTCACTAAACTTGTTCGAATCACTGTCCCAGTGACAGATAAAAAGTGTCCCACATCCTTGGTTTTAGGAATGTGCTCCCTCACCAGTTCAGGACAAACGGGCAAACCTAACAGAGAAAAACAACAACAAAAAATATCAATCCTGGCATTTGACTCTATGGGATTATTCTCATATTTTCTGGGGGAGAAAGGGAAAAACAAAGTTTGTGTTTTACTTAAGAAACAAAATCAGATCAAATCAATTAAGAAAATAGAAAAGAATTATTTCAAATAACAATTATCAGTGGACTCCATTTAAAAGTACATGTATTCTGAACAAGCCTGATCCTGTCTGATCTCAGAAGCTAAGCAGGGTCAGGCCTGGTTAGTACTTGGATGGGAGACCACCTAGGAAGACCAGGTGCTGTAGGCGTCAAAAATAAAAAATAAAAAAATAAGGGATTGTAAGCTGACAAGGTCCTTGCAATCTGTGAGGTCAACCAAGGGTTGCCTTGTCTAAAAAATAAAAATAAAAAAATAAAAGTACATATATAAATGATATATCAATCAGGATTTTAAAAAGGACTGATTCAGTAAGATCTAAATACAGTATGTAATTATAACCACATTCGACAAGAATATAATGCCACGGGCCACACATAAAATCATCTGATGACTCTGAGTAAACCATAAAACTGAGTGATAGATGGTAGCATAATAACCAACGAGTACCATAGCGCCACAAAGCTACTGCTTTTTTCAGTTAGTCTCGGGATTTATTGATACGGAAGTCTGATAGTGTTTCCAATCCTTAAATTGGAGGTTTACCCACAGCAGCACTTGATCCTTTAAAAATCTTGTGTTTTTCACCACTAATAAACAGGCAATTTAACAGGTGTGAAATGCCAAAAAAAATGTTTTATGCTGATATGTCTCCTTTCTCATGTTTGGCTATAATGAATCACTGAGGTAAAGATATGCTGGCTGTGATAGTCTAAGGCTGCCTCCTAACAGATTTATCAAGGTAGCATTTGTTATACTGGTTCATGTCCCATGGTCCATTCTTGGTCCTCAGAATTCAGTAGCTCTGAAACCTGGTAAGTGTGCACATAGAAGATGGATATGTCAGATTTGCCAAGCTCATGAGAAATAAGCACCGTATGTGTGATTATATTTTAAGTTTCTACAGTCTGCACATTTTCTCTCTGCTGACAGATCTACTCTGAAAGCCAAGTAACAACAGTAATCAGAAGGTAGTCTGGGAAGTGTGGAATTAAAAAAACAAAAACCAACCAGCAAATTAGTTAAATGAACTGAATGCTTAAGGCACCAGGCTACATTAATCTGGTGTTACAAGTCCACAGATACACTTGAATTTTCTCTGTTGCTGGCTGAGACTCTCTTTCCATATACTGTATACTGTACAATCAAGGTGGGAACTGCCAATGTTTGCCACTATGACTTCTTTTTCTATGGTTCCAAGGCTCACTTGCCCACTTTCTAATGAAAATATTCTTTATTTATATTAACTTAGACTGTATCACATTTTGCCAGTAAGGGAGCTACATTTTTGATTAGAAAAACTTTTGTATATCTACACTCTAGTCTATGTTGACTTTACAATTTAACTCTCAGAAAACAAACATTTCTAAATTCCTGGAGAATGCTTCATTAAAACACCCCGGGGGCTGACAAGTGCTATATCAACTAAACCAGTGGTCCACAACCTTTTTGGCACCAGGGACCGGTACTCCTATGAAAATCTAATGCCTGATGGATCTGAGGAGGTGGAGCTGAGGCTGGGGAGTGGCTGCAAATATAGGTGAAGCTTCGCTCCTTAGCCCACCATTCACCTCCTGCTGTGTGGCCCTGATTCCTAACAGGCCACAGACCGGTACTGGGGGGAGGGGACCCCTGAAATACACAAAGGATATATTTTTAAATATAAACAACAATGATCTCTTAGTGCTCTGAATTCAACGTGTCAGGGTTTCTTAAAATCTTCCTAGAGAATAATAAGGCAATAAAATCCTTAAATGATCCACCTGATATCCTGGCATGAAGATTCTGCTTCATGGAGACACCCTCAGGCTGAGAGAAGGACTCGAGAATTGTCAAGGCTGATCTTCGCAGCGCACTATCAAAAATAGGCAGTACTTCATTGGGGAATAAATTGAAATATTCCCCAATTTCCATGTTGGTCTCAAAAAGGGTCATGGCATTAATCACAACTGGGTAATGAGCATCTTCATCTCTTTCCTTCAGGATTAGAAGAATATCGTTCTTATGGTATTCCGAAACATATGACTCAAACACTTGACCAACCAGTGTAACTTGATCGCTATTCATCTTGAACCTAGGGAACTAAAGAAAAAGAAAAGACTGTATTATGCCTTTGCTATTCTAGACTTATACACAAGTTAAAAAAATTGTCTGGTTGTAAATCATCCTGAGTTTAGGTCACACTATAATCTCAAAATGCTACCTGAATTTAAATTTTAATTAGATCTGAATTATCTATTACTTAGTAAATATATTATTTTTTAAGTAGGTAAATAAAGGGCTATGTAGGTACTGATTATCAAAATCCAAAATGGTCCAATGACTTTCCTGTATCCTTTCCCAAAACTTCCTCATTAACTCTTTATTATGTAAAAGGTCCTTACTTGCTCTTTAACCACATTCTATACACGCATTTGCTCTCAAGTATAAAATCTTAAATGCCAGTCTCTTGGCTAAAATTACTCTGGTAAAATTCTTTGAAAGTGCCCTGGTTCTAGGTTTTATTCTGAGAAAGAACATCTCTCTCTCTCTCTCTCTCTCTCTAGTTACACACACATACATGCATGTGTATTCTGCTACATAAATGGGACACACACTACTATTTAGATTGATAGCTAGTTCTGACTTGAATAGTTAATAGATTGGCTTTAGAAATTTACATTTGGAGGTGAACTTATTTCCTATTTTCTCTTCCTAACCCAGAAAAACTATTGGCTTTAGCAAAAACAGCTGTCAAGAGTGTAAACAAATGAGATACTTAAAGTGAGGAAACAAAAATTGGTCTTTAAATAACTACAGATTGAAAATAAGGACGGCAAATTTTTTTACTTCGCCTATCTCATTCCCCAGCAAGATTTTCAAAATTTGAATCTACAGATTAAAAGGGCCTCAGATACCTACCATGTGCAAGCCACTATGCTTTGAAATGAAAGCACAATAAAAGGTTCTCTGCCTCCAGAGAACCAAGGGACAGATGAAATATACCAGCACTCTAAGAATGGTAAAAATGCAAATGAATAGCACAAAGGAGAAAAGGATTAAATTTAAATGGGGTGACAATCCCAGAGGTGGCCACGGACCATTACAAATAAGCTGTCCAAACTGGATTAAGAAATTCTTATTTGGTGTGCAAACAGAGCACTGGAGGACAAGTATACTTTGACTTATGTCATCCAATCAACATTTATTGCACTAGGCTCTATAAAAAAATGATTAAAGATTGTTACAAAGTTCAGTTTAGTATCATAAACGTGTTATACATGCTACTTATTAGCAATATTTTGCCTTCTCTGGGAATCTCCTATTCTGGAAGGTGTGAAAGGAGTAAGGAAGGTATGCCACAGTTAGGCCAAGAATCCTGACAACAACAGATACCACTGTGAGATTAGAAGATAGAGGATATGTATAGCTAAGAGAATAAGTGAAAGCAAATTACGGCCACTCCATTGACAAATTTGTTTTGGTTAGGTACTATAAACTCAGCCAAGTGAAAAGCAGAAAAAGCACTTGGGAAGGAACTAATCACCGTATTTCCATGATGTGGTCTTTGCTTAAAAACAAACAAACAAACGAAAAGTGGGCTCCCAAGAGTGGCTACAAGAGAACATCCAAGATTGACGCTGCGTGCATATTAAATTTGGAGCCACAGGTTTAGCAAAAGACAGTTTCACATAGGGTAGGAAGGGGGAGCCGCAGAATTCATGGTTCAAATTAAGGTCAGATTAAATTTCGCTGTCTTTTTTAAAATAACATTTTTTAAAAACAGCATTCACTTTCAATATCTGCGCAAAACTGATCCACTGTTTCTAAGCAGTTTGCTCACCCTATGAACACGCCTACTCAGATAAAGACTGGAGGCACTTAGCCTTTTAAAACTTTCGAGTTCCCTTTCCGTTTTCTTACTGACGATTTGAGATTAAAATACAATCATGTTGTATTACTTTATCCTCTGGACCAAAGTGAATCACCAACAAGTAACGCTAGGAGGGTGAAGTAGTGACCGCTAGCTGGGTCTAGGAGAATCACAGCCTACCGAGGCGCCGCACCTCACCTGCCGGGAGCCACGCCCCCTCCCGCCG